ATTTAAAAAAAAAAAAAATTATTAATGTGATGGAAAATATTATTTTATTGAAGAATATGTGGTTGAAAATGAGAATTGATTTACTGTAGAATTTGAAAATTCCTACCAAACACCCCCTTAATTGTATTCATCACTTTAATATGTTATCTTATTTCCTCTTTTAAGTGGTCCAACAACGGAAATTTGGGCACACGAACTTAGTTTGATTTATAATAATAGTAGATATATCGGGTTCCTTTCTTAACTTTAATGCTCAGAATGATTTTAAGCGTTAAGTTGAAATCGTACTGATTGAAGGGATTTTATTTGAATGGAATCGTTAGCTCGTCCTATACACGCAAAGTTGAAGTCGTACTTTCCTTGATAAATTTGTCTTTTTTTTTTTTTTTTTCCAGTCTATCCAAATTGATCTAATTAATCGAGAATAAAACTTGATCGTTGCGTCATAATCACATTGACACTAACTAAAGATAAAAGACATTGTCCAATCTTGATACCTCGAGTTAGGCAACGCGTGAAATATTCAATTTAAAATCAACTTTTGGAAGTCTTAAAGCGAATCCCATTGTTTCCGTTGCCTAGCCTAATTCTAGCACTAATTAGCCAACCACATCATGCCACTTGTACATGCTTCATTCCATGTTACATGTCCGAACAAAAGAGGCAGGGCCCACTCAGCCAGCACAACATAATATTAAATTATTTGTCAACCCTTGGGTTAATTAACTTAACCATAGTTTAAATTCTTTGTTATATGGTGCGAGTGTCATTTTCCTCTTATGCCAAGTTTTTTAAGTAATGCTATTCATCATCAGTAGAGTTGTAACCTCAGTTTATGTGGCTCTAAATGATAGGTTAGATGAAAGGTGAAATTAAATGACTTATTTAATTTTATCTATCATTTAATGACACATTAAAGTCATCTAAACTGGGGTTACAACTCCATTGAGGATGAATAGCATTACTCAAGTTTTTTTGGTGGCAGATTTGCACGTTGACTAAATAACTTAAACTGAAAAATAATTAATGAAAGATTTATATTTGAAGTTGCTAATATAAGTAAATTATATGACACGCGTCCCAAAACATAATTATCAAATTATGGAAAGGAGAATTAATAAAGAGTTGAATTTTTTCAAAAAAGTATTGATTGCATGGAAAATGAAGAGTTTTAAATTTTTAAAACTTGAAATCATTGGAGCATTTCAATTAGGGCGGTAAATGGATCGAATTTGCCTATATCCGATCTGATAAGAAAATTTATTCGATCCGATGATCCAACGGATATTTAATTGCTAAA